GACAACAGTATTCATCGGGGACCAGGTGATGTGCAATGTCCATTGATCTACCGAGTGCACGCATCCGTTAGCTCGAAAGCAAACCTAATGGGCCCTCCGACCCTCTACGCTGGATTCACTCCGCACATCTCAATCGAAGAAAGATGCAGCTTTTCCAATAGAACTCGGTGATGGATTGCGGTGTGATAGTAGACGACTTTCTCTCCCAGCCGAGCAAGACAATCATTCTCTGCAATTTGAGAAAGCACCGAAGAGTTTGACTTGGAAGAGGGAGCGAGGAGGAGAAGCAGAACATGATAACTATGCGTCATTGCAGAGTGCAATGAGACTGGAATGGCAGCTTGGGTTCAGTATGGACTACAGATGTGAGAGGCAAGGGCGCGACAGAGTTGCAGATCTAGAGCAGAGCAGGGATTCAATCTTCAGAGGATCTCAGGTCATCGAAACTCCGAAGCATTACTCAAGCCTGTAACAGATACTGTACAATGGAGAAGAATTTGACTTCCTACCTTGTCGGTGCGATGAAAGTGATATACTCAAGTGTTGCGGGTTTCTCCTGTGTGAAATTTAGAAAATGTTCTCCTCTTTATCAGTCACGCGCCCCTGGAACCGATGTTCGATGGAAAGCTGAGCAGTTCGAAACCTGAGGGTGCTCACGCAGGTGGATAACTGACATCACATGCTCATCGGTTAATATAAATCTTCAATCCTTCCAATGTTGAGCGAAACTCCAGGTAGCCCAAAATGACATCCACATTTTTATTCTCAGTTTCAGTTAAACCATTTTGAAGTCACCCGTGACCTACCCGAATATTGACATCATTAGCAGTTTTGACAAAGCACATTACAGCAGTTACAGCACATCACAGCAGTATGTGATTTCCATTATCGATATTGTCAGTCTTACCTTTGATATTCTCATACCAGTGAACCAGAAACATTGGATAAGATATGTCCATTACAGTGTCCCTGTTTATCCTTACCCTTTTCAAGGCTCGAGCGGCGCCATATTTGTTTGTATTGATACAGGTTTGATATATTCACGTCGAGACGAACCTCACTGAAACCATGGCAAATGTAAAGGAACGGGGCAGACAAATAATAAAAGGGACAATGGCGAAAACCACCAGAAAAGTGACAAATGAAAGACCCTAAAAGCGAGAAAAGCCAGGTCCAAAGGCAAAAGGAAAGTGAGAGAGAGAGCTAATCCCTCTAGAGATAAACCTCATGATTGCTCTGGCGGAAGCCTAGGGAGATCGATATGGCACTATCGAGCTTTGGAGCGAAAGGCAGATCTGAAGTTGCAGCAAATGGAAGCTTTGTATCCTCGCATGGCGGAACGCTTTGTCGTGATCAAGCACGGCGATAATGTGCATTGGAACGAAGGTTAGTCCAATTTAGACAGCTGTCGTTTGGCGAGACTACAAAACGGGATGGGAAGCAAAAGCTATGAACGTGGAGTTGACAGACGAAGCTCAAGTTAGATACTGCGGTCACGTGGAAACCGCCTGTGCATGTACTCTAACCCCCCTACAGGCTAATAATGCAATAACATTTGGTGCATCTTCTTCCTTTCGTCGGCATGGGCTCTTAACATCCTTCTTTGTTATCCAGTTGGCCCCGTTGTTGATGTTGGCTTTAATACTTCACGACTCCTTATGTTCTTCACATCATCGCCTCTGGAAGATGTTAATAGTTAAAAAAAAAATCCGGTAGCACCGAGAAGTATAGCCAAAGGATGGATAGGACACATCTAATTGCAAATTGATGAAAGCGAGCTGTCAGGCCATCCTACTTGAAGGAGGAGGGCTTGAGAGAGGGATTTATAAGCAGTTTGTAACTGCGACGAAGTAGTCAGGGTTGAATTCACGATAGCATCACAAATAAGTTAATGAATAAAGATAGTAATATATATTACAAGTAATATATGAGAAATATCAAAATCAACCATTTACTAAATAATACGGCTTTCCTCAGACATCAAATGAACATATTATTGTTATCATACAATATTGATATGATAGATATCTGAACACTTTTTCATAGACATGTAAAGTTGGATTCCAAAACTTCAAGACTAGAGGACAAATAAATAAATAAATAAATTTTAGGCCAGTCCTGAAATTTACATAAAACTTTGTAATCCAACTTCTACATGTCTATGAAAAAGTGTTCAAATATCTATCATATATATATATACATACATACATACAGTGCTCTTAGAGACAATAGTTATACTCATTGCCATGTATGAAATTGAATGATAAGCTTTTATATTACATGTAAGATCAAAATACCTTTAGAATAAGTATCAGTTATATACAATTAACTGATATAATATATATATATATATGATAAATATATTTTCAATCAAAATTTCAATAACTATAATATTTGTAGATAATTTTCATTAGATAAAACACTATAAGTGCATACTACTTCATCATTAAATGCATTTCTTACACAAATTGACAAAGATTTGTATCTTTATGTAGGAAATCTTGTCACACAAAAAACTTCTTCGTCCAAAGATGTCACGAGGACTACTTTGATACTTCCATCAAAAGCTGTTCTAAAAGACAAACATAAATAAACATATGATATTAAAAAATACATTGGTAAAACAAAATAAGAAAAATATAGTACATAATGGGACACGTAAAAAATCCTTACTATCATGCGTATATACACTTCTATTTACTTAATGTCATATTTGTTTGTCAAACATTAATGAGGAGAGATAATCAACACGAAACAATGCAGTACATTTTTATATCTTGACCTCCAGATGACCATATGAACCTCATGACCCGAGTAACCAAAAAATTGATTTTCAAATGATTACATCATCCTAAGTACCGAAGTAATCAAAATTTGGACTTTCAATTAACAACATGAACCTCAGTACCCAAGTAATAAATTTTTGACTCGCAAGTAACTATTTGAAGCTTAGTATCAAGTGAAAAGTCTTTTGACCTTCAAGTAACAATACGATCTTCAATATTCAAACATATGTTTACAGTATCTACAAGGCGATGGAAGCTGCGCATCATATGGAAAAATATGCTCATTATTAGAGTGTACTATATTCCATATCAAGGCCAAAACAGTGACTGAAGAACTGAAAAACAAACCATAACAATGAAGGCTAAATTCAAATGAATTCTTTACTACGTTTCAACAGTATTTTCATACGTTTGAAAAGTCATGATGATAGAATGAAGAAGAATTGAACCCGACAAAATAAATGAGTCTCAATAAAACTCGTCACTTGACTAGAGAACAAAGAGTTCTCGAAAACGTTGAATAAATCTCCTTTCAAATAATAAATTGAAACTTCCTAGTTAATACTATACACAAAAAAAAAATGTAACTAAAATCCCAATAATTTGAGGAGATCCGCGCCGTGCCAAGAGAAACAGATTCCATAATCCATTTGCTGGGAGACTACATACACTGGGCTCAACAAGTTGGGGAGCCAGTCCATTTAAAGCCTCCAGGATTGGCAAGTCGCAGGGACATGTCTCTAGTGACCAAATTGTAGTCTTTAGATTTAGCACCGTCCGTACTTGAATGTGCCCGCCACCAGATATGCACGACGAAAATCCTGCTCGCCAATGGCTTCATCTCCACCTTTCATGGCGTCAGGATGTCGCTCCATTTGTCAAGACCCAGTGAGCCCTTCTTCGCCTCCACTTCTCTCCTGAGAATTGGAGAACTGGAGCTCGACTCTGAGCCGCACGAAAGTCGCAATTCGAGCAACGAGGGCCCTACCAGTCCCCCCTCTGCCTCTGCCTCTTCGATCTCGGTGTTATCCGAGCTCGGAAATCCAATTTATCGAGCATCTCGATGAGAAACAATGTCCATGTCTAAGGGTCTAACACATGCACACACATCATTGAAGAAAAAGCTTCGGCTCATTAAGAACGTGGGCCCGCGAGGGACTGACTCGGTTTTGAAAGCTCCAGATTCACGTGCAGCAGGGAGACAGAAGCGATGAACAGGGAAGCATGAACTGAGGCTGAGGCTGCCGGTGAGGCCGAGTCAATTTCAGCGGCTTCGGAAGTTGATGACAAGATTTGGAGCTTGGGTTTTGTTGATCGAACTTGGGTCCGACTCTGTAGATGGTAGTAACCACCACTGAGTCTCGGGTTGCTTTCTCTGAGTGGATGCAACCACCATAGATTGGGCAGAGCAAAATTCTTACTGTACGTTTCTTTGGGCATGCGCCACAGCTTCGATGGCAGAACTGTTTTGACTCCCTGGAATTCAGACGACTCTGTGTGATGAGGGTTAGTTTCGGTGGGGGGAGTTGAGGAGCGAGCAGGAAGGACAGTGGGCATGATTGACGAGAAGGGGCCAGCAAGAAGGTGGCGGAGGGATTGACAAATCAATTCACGGGCTCAGGACTTCCTGAAGCTGTACCCTGCATAGATTGTGAGCTTCTGACACAAAAGTACTCCTCTGTACGCTTCTAGGACCCGGATAAAAAACCAGCCACAGCTCAGTTTTCGATGGCCTGTCATTGTGAGTACAGAGCCCCAACTTTGCAGGAGAAGTTGTTCAGCTTTGTGCAGCAGGACGTCACACGCTGACAACTCGACGTGGCTCGATCGACATATGAATGGTGTGGACATGAAAAGGTCGCGGGCTTCTTGCCAAAGAGTACCCACATGACTGGAGATAATTAAAAAAATCTAAACAGAGAGCACATGACTAACAGAGACGAAGGAGAAGTCAGTCGATTCCTTGGCCACGATTCTCCCACGAGCTCGTTTCAAGATGTGCCGAAATACATCGATTCTCTCTCGTGATCAGCTCCACCTGCTTGACAGACTGTGCACACCAGTTTCTCCATTCCCATAAAATCAAGGGCCTCTGTACAAGCTCAAAAGCTCGCGCAGCCATCCTCAATTGACGTACAGCGGTGACAAATGCATTACAGAATCGAAAGAGTCCATGGAGACGGAGGTGAAGGAGACGAAGGAATGAGAGAAGCAGGCAAATTGCGCAAGAGGCCCTCGAACACGTGGTTCTGTCAGGACAAGTTTCCCAGAAAATTGAACTCAATCGCCACAAGGCATCCACATTCAAGGATGAGTGGGCACCAGAACCCGGCGCTTTGCTCAAGACTGCTTCCTTGGCCAGAAGAAAACCTCTTATTGGTGATCTACAGAGGTTGCTATCCTCATTCTAGATCTAACGCACTGGGCCATCGTATGCAGTAGGGATCTTTGAATAATCGTCGCAGCATACGAATGCATCGGTGCTGCCACAGGGATCTTCTGGACTAACTTTGCTTCATCTGTGGTCGTACAAGACTCATGACCAATACTTTGGACAATACTCCCCCTCCCTATAAAGAACATCACAGGCTCATCCGCATAGAGTACATAATTCTGTCGAAAATCACGAATCCCTAAGGAGCTCTTGCTTTCACACACCAAATTGGAAGATTCAAACAAGCAAGACGGTCCAGATCCAACGACGTCTTCTGCGGCCTTACCACTCTCCACTTCAATGATGAAAAGTTCGAGGACCAGCGCATCGAATGAACCTGGATTGTCCTCAACTACGGCTCGCCTACCGAACTGCTGATGTTCACACTCGATCCCACAGAGTCGAGAGCTTCAGGACGGAGACGCCGGTCGAGTACTAAGCGCCGCTACGGAGAGTGATCGTCCCCAATCGCCGCACTGGAAGAAATGCCGATCCTCGAAGAATTGTTCCTCAATCGTTCTTCTCATCCTCTTCCTCGGAGTCCGATCGAACGTCGTTCTCGACCTTGCCCAGCGCTTTGATCTGGCGCATGAGAGTTCTCCAAATCAACACCCACCAGTAAATGTGCAGCACGAACAGGCTGATCAGCAGCGTGTTGCAGATGTAGTACTTGAGCGGCCCGTACGGTTGACTTCTGTCCGCCACCGTCAACACTTCATAGCTGGTGCTGCGGATAATCCAGAAGGGCAGAATCACCAGGCGCAGAACGATCCACGAGATGGCGAACACGACGAACGCCACGGCCGGAATGAGCTCGGAGCCGCTGTACTTGGTCAGCTTGGCCACCTCCAGGAACACGTCGCTCGCATCGTGCAGCGCCAGCACCATGGAACCCACGCGCCCCAGGCGCACCCAGTAGGACACGATAATGAGCGCCAGCGTCACGACGTGATGCGACATGCTCACGCCGAAATCTTTGCGCCTCGTCTCCCAGAACACCAGCGCGAAAATACTGTACGTGTAGAACCCGCCGGCCGATGTGTACAGCAGCTTCAGCTTGCTCTTGCACAATTGATTGGGCCAATTTTGCGAGCCGGGGCCGACCCAGAACTTCATGGTGTCGCTGAAGTAGGGCTCATTGTAAGTGGCCGCGAGCGCGAACATCTCCGCCGACAGAAAGTAGCACAGCTTCCACGACGACTCCTTGAACTTGACCAGCGTCTTCCTCAGGTTATCCCTATCGGCCTCGCTCACTCCCTTGAGCTTGTATCCGCCCCTTCCGAAGACGAAGAATCTACCGGCGGGCTCGAACAAATAATTGTCGAGCAATATTCTGACGCTCAGGAAGAATACGGCAAAAATCGGAATCAAAATGTAGTCCTTCGGCTCGGGGTAACTCTCGTGCTCCCAGTCGAACATTGCCACTCGCCATCTCGTCAGATCCTCCCAGTCCACGCCTGATGTCACCGCCATCCTACCCTGCGTGCCTCCTCAATCCCTCTCTTTCTCCCTCCCTCCCCCACTCCTCGAGGATCTTCTTCAAATCAAATCTTCTTCTAGTCGCCACGACAATTCTCCAGAGCCCCCAGCTTCCGGGAAGACCGCGGAAACCACAGCGCTCTCTCTCTTTCTATCTCTATCTCTATCTCCTCCTCGGTGCGCGACGACGGAAAGATCGAAAATGCTGCAACTCTAAATCTGCCGCCGGCGCAACAATGCTCGCCAGAATTTCATCCGTCTGCTCCAGCAGGCGAGGGCGTCGACCCGACTCCCGACCTGCTCGATCACTTCGACATCTACATGCGCGCGCCCGGCATTGCTCGAAACTCGTCAGGGGGTCAGAGAATCAGTGCATCAGCGCCAGTCAGTGGCTCAGCTGAAGGCTAATCCGGAGCTCATGATCGTCTTTCTTTCCTAACCCGAGCGGTGACAACTACTACCAACACTCCTCTCCCACACCGAGCACGAGAAGTACTGGTGTCACGGGAGGAAGACGAGCACGAAGACGAGGAAGAAAAGCAAGAGCAAGAGGAAGAGGAAGGGCAGAGGCAGGGGCAGGAGGAGGGGACCGGCCAGACGGAGGGTGGTGGGGGTGGGGGGAGACGGGGAACGAGGACGAGTACAGTAGACAGTAGCGGTGAGAGCGAGAGCAACCCTAGAAAGGCTCGCGCGCCCGAAACTCCAAAGGCCTCCCGCTTCTCTCTGCCACCAGACCGTCTCGGGCTTGGGCCCGAGGCTACAGCATTCGCATTCTGGCTCCACGAGCTGTGCTAAATTCGCGATTCCGACTGAGGGAAAAGAAATAATATCCTCGACTCCCGGAAATAATTCTTCGGGCATTATTATTATTATTATTCGAATTGCGGGTTCACGAGCTGTGCTCAAATATAAAAATAAATTTTCGACTCCCCGGAATAATAATTCGGGCAATTGTGATTATTATTATTTCTCCCATTATTATTATTGATCCCCCAACCCGAGTGAATATTGCTGGCGTCCCATTGAAGATCTCCCCGCGCTCTTGTCCTCGCTAGCCAGATGGGCCTCCGATCCGAAGGCAGTCCCGGCTCGAAGCCAGCTCCAGCTCTGGCTTTGGCTCTGGCTCTAGCTCTGGCAGCGGGCCGGGCGGGAGGGGAACAAGCAGCCACCGAGCCGCGCGCGCGCGCGGCCCGTCGGACAAACTCGGCCCCCTGCTCATCCCTGCCGCTTCTTGGTACCCCCCGGGCAAGCGACGCGGGTTCGTCGGGTCGCGCAGTGTGTGTGCAGATGGAATCGACCGTAACACCTTCTTTTCCCCTTCCTCCCCTCTCCAGCTCCAGCTCCAGCTCGTCTTCTCGTGGCCGGGCACTCTTCGCAATCACTGCATCTTGCGCTGGTGCTGGTGCTGGTACCGGTTGTTCGTCGAGATCACCTCCCCCCTCCCTCTTCGCCCCATGAATGCGAGCTCCGTGTTAACCACCTCCTCCTCCGGTGCGGTGGTGTGGCGAATGCGGGGTGACATGCTACCACATGCCATGCGATCCGCCACTCATGGGCTCGGCTCGGCTCGGGCGGGCGGGCGGGCGGGCTGGCCGGGCTCGTTTTAGATTTGACTGTTTGCCTTACCATCCTTGTCTCTCTCAATGTCATCCATCGCTCCCTGCACGCTCGCACCAGGACGGTACTTCGTGATCGTCTATATTAAGTCCCCGATGTCGACTTACGGCTGTGTGCCAAACCCCAACTCCGTCGCAGAACCTCTCTACCGTCAAACCTCGTTCATCTACGTAGCAAAAGCTTCATCCATAAATGAATTATCTAACCTCTCACGACACAATCTCTGAACAGTTAATTGTCTTGGCCTCCAGGAGAGGTGTTCATGCTGTGCCCCTTGGTTCCACCCATGGTAGACACCTCAATACTTGCAAATCTAAGAGATAAAATTGTCCGAGAATTATGATGAACAAATGATAAGTTTAAAGGAAAATAATAAAATATTAAGCGGATGGATGGAGATATATATACATATATATGTATATATATATATGCAGATATTATAGCGGATTATGTAGTGATTTATATTATGCAGATGGATTTTATTGTATTCTAGAAACCTTGACCTGAGGGTTGAAAGGTTGCAGTCTCTGGAACTCAAACTCTTCGATATTTGCCACAACGCAAGTCCATCGAACGCGTGTGGAGATTCTCCCAGAAACACGGTCGTTCGCATTCGTCCTCATTTTTTCTTCTGTAGCCGCGTGGAGTTTGTAAGTGGCTGAGGTGCATTGTAGTACACACTCGCAGTCGCCATACACTTCCACGAGTACCCCTCGCTGAGAACTCGTTATGTTGACGGAGTCTCCACTGGAAATACGATCGATCGGACAACCGTATAACCGTCGATCACTGACCTGGTCTGGATTGCAGTGTTCTCAATGCAGACAGACGATGTCTTCGTGGTTCGGAATTCTTCGACGTTCGTTATCGACGCCGTTTGGATCCAACACCGGTCAAATTACGGATGGACATCGGGAGCTTCCATTTGACGTTTTGCAAGGACAGCAGTTGGAGCTTGCCCTTTTGACCAACCACGTACAGTCGCATGTAATTCACACAGCCAGGTACCGAAAGCTGTTCCTGATTATTCACCCCTAGCTACGGTCCCACTCATAAATGCAAAATATTATACTCTCTCGCCATGGCCAGTGAAGCGTAGTTATAGAACTCCACCCGATCGACGACACTCAACTTGTTTCCTTCTCATTCGCTGTATATTATATTCACATGGTGGCTTTTATCACCTAATATATAAAAGCAATCTAGTACGACCTCGTGACATCGTAAGAAAACAAAGCTCTGCATGGAGCTCGGAATTTGACTGGAGTGAGAAAGTGAAATAGGTGCCTTTCAATTCTGGGAAGATATGTATATATATATATATATATATACAGTAGTCTTAGGCCCGTGGCCAAGAGTCGCGACATGAGATTCCTGGTAACGAGAGAAATCGAAGGAAGTCGTGCATCTGGCGTCTGGCGATGGATGGGAGGGAGGGAGTCCCATCAATAAACGAACTGCTCCCTGTACCATACGGGGACAAGAACGAATCCCCTGCTCGTGAGAACCTCCGCGGGTACACTCTCTCTGTACCGGACGGAGGCCATCGATGTAACTAACACCTTTGACGGAGCGATGAATATGACGGAGCGACGTGGACGACGACTCGCTCCCAGGGGGTCAGCGGGATGGCAACCGGAACAGAACCGGAGGCTCAAGTCTGGCCGGTAAGTGCGTCCTCGGGGTAGAGTAATGCCGGAGGTAAAGGTAAAGGCAAAGCAAATTACGGAGAGAGGAGGACGACGACATCTACGTACGGCATAACTTCCTGACACCAAATCCAACAGTCGCATCAATAGATTCTAGGAATCTTTATTGATTCCTCCGACTGACTTTCACCCGCGAGAGTTACTAGTAACTCTTGCGGTCTTGTTTCACCGTGTTTTGGGAGGCGAACCAGGTAGGAGGATCGTAGGATCCTGGAAAGGCGTATGATAACCGTGGTTGAACTTTGTGGTCGGAGAAGGCTGGCACGGGGCTTCGTGTGCTGTCCCCATTCGGGGTTAACTGTACGAGGGCCCGAGGCAAGGTCCTGGTCCGGCCCGTGGTCGGTCGGTCCCCCGGCGGATTAATATCTGGGGTGCGATATTTAGGTGGGGCTCCGTGAGCCCTCGGAGCCTCGCGTGCCGTGATCGTCTACAAATCCCGGCGACTTCAGTGTAGGAATTGAGGCTATCCCCGTCTGTGGGCCGGGCTTCCGGGGAGGCCGTTCCTGCAGATACCACCGCCGCCTTCCGCCGGAGAAGGAGAAGCGTGGAGATTATCTTCGCGCCGAAGTCAGTCTGACGACGGTGGTCCCAGTCACCGGACACGTAGGCAAAGATGCCAGCGGCGCCGATCGGCGATCGGGCAAGGGAGCTGGTGTGGATAATGGACCGATATGCGATCACCGGCCCGAGTATAGACCGGACGGCCGACGCTGCCCTACCCGCGGGGTAAAGCGGGTTTCCGATCTTGGATCCCTTGGACTTCTTTTCTGAGCGAACCCGATCTTGGGCCTCGGCCGCACCGCCACACGCGTCCCTACTGTACTGTAGTAGATGAGTGAGGGAGGGAGCGTTAGGAACCCGGTTGGAGGACCAACTTGGTAACAACCGCGTTCGAGGAGGAAGAACCGTTCGTGGCAATTGGGTTCTTCTAACTGTTATGCTACAACAACTGAGAATCGACTGGGCTATTATAATTATGTCGGCTACATTGCCACCAGTTTGAACACGGAATAATCAAAGAAGATCTGCGACCATTTCTGCCATCGTAGAGCTAAATTTGGTGGACTGAATCTGATCCGAATTATCATATCGAATTTTTCCTTCGTTCCTGTGAATGTGCTCACAGTCTCTCTTCATTTCGCTATGATGAAGGGAAGATGACAATCTTTCCCTCAACGTTCAATCATAGCCTTCTTCAAATGGAAAATCCACGTTTTCTTCTGCTGTGGAAAGGGCAGATTCTGTGCAGTCATCGGAGTGTCTAGAAGCCAGCCCTGTCGCCCGTTTGGAGTGGGACCAAGGAAGTAACACTGAAGGCATGATACTTCTCACATGCATCATTACCAAGAGAAAGGATCGTATAAAACCCTTTCTGAAATGAATTAATTCAGACCGAAGTCATGAGCTAGACTTGCAGAGGAAGATTACAGATTTTAATATAGATATGAAATCAGATATTGGGATGCGTATTTGAATCCAGACTACATTCTTTTGGAGATACGTGAGAATGGAATAGAATGCTTGTAGTTGAATTCGCTAATCTCAAGTTCATTTCAACGTAGCCTTATTTAAAATAATATTTTTTATTTGTCATACAAAAAATGAAGTAAAGTATCAATCTTCACACAGTTGATGCATAGAAATTTCATTTCCTTCCTGGACTAGTTGGCACTGAAAATCCTAAGTACGATGATCAGGTAACTGAAATTCATTTAATATTGAATTTTGAAGTTTAAGTCTGAAATAACGATGTTGTTTCTAGTTGCTTTTATAATAGTGAAAAAATGGTAAGTTTGCTACCTAGCATATCTTCCAACGAAATCATTTTTTTCTTTATTTAATGTACTTTATAAGAACGAACAACAAAATTCTGGAAAATATGATAAAAAAATTTGCTTTGATAGAATAGGAATTCTGTTACATCCAAAGAGCTCGAAATATATACAACTTCATGCCCTGAAATGACTTGAAACTGATCAAAGATTCATAAGTAAATCTTAAATTTTTTTAAAACTTAATTACAATTTTCAGTTTGTTGAATTTCTTGAGTTTTGTTGGTACGTGTTTGTGATGACGGCTCTTTATCAACAACTTTGCTGTCGTTAGTATTATTACCATATGGTAGTTGGAATCTTTATCTCTCTATAATTGTACGCATCACTCTTCCTACGTATAGTTATAATCGATCTCAATT